TCCACTTCCGTACATGTTCCTCCACTTTTAGTAAATAGGAGATGGCGGTGTCAGGGAGAAAATAAAGCAAAGGCACCTCTCTGTTTGGTCAAGGACCATCAAGGTTGAAGGACATATAGCATTTCCTATTGACATATGTCCCATAAAAGGCATGCAATTATTTACTGGTCATGACATTATTATCTCCCGCTCCATCAGAGAGGCTCAAAAGAATGAGACCTCGGGGAGTCTGACTTCTCTGCACAAGTAAAAAAGGAAATACCATCTGCTATCCCTCACATATAGACTCTCAGCCTTCCTCGCTAAGCATTGCTTTGCCCTTGTGCAAACTAAGGGATGAGAAGTTTCTGCGAACTTGTCTCGCCTTCTTGTAGGGAGGTTGAGGTGGGTATTTGTCCAGCGCTGACTTTATATTATACAGCTTAATGGTTAGTACAGTATCTACAGATGTAGTGACCTCTGTTGAACATCAAGCTGACACTGAAAATATACAAGAGCGAAGGGGGCAGCCGTGTCAAATTCCAGCGAGTGTCTGCACACGATTGGCCGACTGCTTGGAGCTTTTAAGGCAAAGCTACAGAACAGCTCTTTGTGTGTTTTGGCAGAATAAATAAAAGACAAATCCACTAACTGGACTGTTTTCTCAAAGAGAAATGTTGCTTCTCGATGTTGCATTTAAAGATGGATGAGGAGGTACACAGAGGATCTGAGGAAGGTCTGCACTGGACTGAAATGCTTTTGAGTAGATGCCGGAATGCCTCGTTCTTGTTTTCATTTATTTTCCTCGTCCCCTCTGCACCCGCTTTGAACGTGTGTGAGCATATAATTGAAGAAAAAGCTAACATTGTATTAAAGCAAACACACAATACTTCCTGCCTCAGCAAATGCTCTGTCAGCCACACAGGAATATGTCTCCCCCCCCCCCCCCCCCCAAATTGGGATCTCATTGTTTTCCAATCGACTGTTGCTCGTAATAATTTGCATGAAAAATATGTCTGCAGTGGAAATGATGATCAGGATCCCAGCGGTGATGACCGGAGAGATAGAATCATGACCCTGTGAGGAGCTAATGTATTGCTGTGAAGCTAATCTGTGACAGGAATGAGGTTTTGTTGCACTGGCTTGGGCTTGGTGTGCTGCTCTCCTGGTTCCACGCAACAATTGTCTCCAAAAAGACAAAGCACTGTGGAAAGCGCTATCTCAGTGGAGCGTGCAGGAGCAAGGTTTGTCTACATCATCCACGACCCTGGTTTTGCTACAAATTGGCTGTGTCCTTGTCAATGAGAGGGCTACAAAAGAAGCATATGAGCAAAAGAAAAGAAGAAAACAGTCTAGCTCAAGCCATGCTATTGTAAAGTAATACTGATTTTAGCCTGCGATTGTCCTTTTTTTTTTTTCTCCACTTGCTGAAATGGGTCTGAAATACTCAAAACAAGAGCAAGGAGCAGACATTTAGGTCTGTGTTCTTAAGCAGAGGTCGCCTGTCTCTGGGCTCAGGAGGTATTAGCTCCATGAAAGGCGAACACGGAAGTAATGAGTGGTGGTGGGGAGCCATTAGCATGCTTGAGATAACTTCGACGCCAAGCCCTTTTGGATCATGACACGTCATGAACAGTTCTTGTCAACCGGACAGCTCCATCTGCACCTTTAATATTTTATCCCCTGCAGTTCATTTGGAGTTCAGGGTGTACACACAGTCCACTTCAGAAAAAAAGCTCTCTCCTCAGTCTCAGTGAGGCGAGGCTGCTTCTGCATGGCTTGCAGTGATGATTCAGAAAGAGAGTGAAGGATAGAAGCAAGGCAGCTCTGCTCCAGCAAGAGAGACCCCCCCGGGAAGGGCTGCGAAAGCATGTCGGTGGGGGTGGGAACATGTGCCACGCTGCTGGCTTACTTTAAAGTACTGTGTCCCTCTCCTCTGTCTCATTGGATCCATGTCACCACTCCATGTGTGAAAGGTTTTTTTTTTTCCAAAAGTCCTTCCCCACCTGTTTCTCGCCACCCCCACTGTCTTACTCATGCAGACGGCTGGCAGGAGTAACGGCTGGTAGCTGTGAAACAAAACAGTTTCAGTGTCGTCTAAGACAAAAAAAGTCAGTTTTTGATTCCCCACCTCTTTTTTTTTTTCCCCCCTTTATCTTTCGTCTCTTTCTGCAGAAGCCTGGCTTATTGTGTGCAGCTTCATGAGTTGATTGCATGTGGAGGGGGTGATGTATTGATCACAGGCAGTCTTTTGATAGCAGTGTGCACCAGAACACTCAGACATTTCTGTTCAAGAGTGAATGACTGTGGTCTGAGCCCAGCTCACAAAGGTCCCTCCATTTTTCATCCCCATTTTTCTTCCCGGCATTTTAAAAATAACACCAAAAATGCGTCATCTGTGACGCTAAAAGCAGTGGTCACTGCAGATGTATTTATTTGAGCGTTTCCTTTCCCGTTTGATTGTCGTGTCTGTTTGAAATGTTGCCACGCCTCTGAAGTTGTCCTTCGCAGACATTTCTTGACATTATTTATACATGGCAGGCTTGCCGTACAAGCAGCTGGGTACATCTGCTGAGAGTGCTTGTACATGCTGCGTTGAGGACCAGTTTGCTCCAGAATAAATGTGTTTGAAGTAAATTATTTGGAGGAGCCCCTTTGCTGGACAATCTACCCTTTGTGTCTCTAAATCACACTATTGATTTTTAAGGTACCATATAAATGTACTCTGAAAGAAACACAGCTCATAGTGTCCTTGTCTGAACCTGATATGTGCCACCTTCTCCCTTACGATTTACTACGCTAAATCAAAAACAAACAAAAAAAATAGAGAGAACAAGCTCCCTCTCCTTTTTTCTTTTTTATCCCCATCCTTTTCATCTGGACACACAAGAGAATCGAAGAAAATATACCACGTTCTTCCTCCCCCCCCACCCCCCCAAGCCTTTTGTTACTGGTTATACCTCATAATATTTCACTACATGCATAAAATGATATGCAGTTGTTTTGTACAACAATAGGCTCTCCTCTTTCTCCTGCTACTTTTCATTCCCTTCTGACATTACCAGACTGCTGCTGTGTGGCTGTTTCTATTTTCTTTTTTTTTTTTTCTTCTCTCACATTGATGGATTTTAATGCATTTTCATGTTCCTATTGATATAGAATGACACTAAATTTGGCGCCAGTCGGCCAGTCTGAGACTAGCCGGAGTGATAGACGTTTATTGGATCAGTCTGAGGACATGCACAGAGCTGAAGGCTGACTGCTTTAATACTTACAGACAAATTAACAGTTTCTTCCTTTCTTTCTTTGCCATGTCTTGAGCCATATTTCTTTATGAATTAACGCCGCCGTTTCTCCGTCTTGACAGCTCAATCTCATCTTCCTGGTGATCACGATGTACAAAATGGTGAAGCACTCCACCACCCTGAAACCAGACTCTAGTCGACTGGAGAATATAAAGTAAGTGAAGCAGCACGTTCTGAACCCAACATTTCCCTTTGTGTGTGCAGTGTGGGCTTTATTGTCCTTTCTATGGGGGGGGTTGTAAAGTTTTCTACGCTTGTGGTTTTGCTTTTCGGTTCTCCCTCCCGTAAAGTTTTCTAGCCGTCACTCGTGTGAAAATAAATGGAAGAGCCTTTTTTTTTTAAATATTGCAATGAGAAAATGTATTTAAATTATAATTTTGGTTGTTTGTTTCGTTTGTTTTCGTTTTGCCAGGGTTGTATTGCTGGTGATGGCTGCAGATACTTTGTGAGCAGCTCTTTTGGTGCTGTGTTGTTTTGCTCCAAACCACTAACCACGGAATTGCACTGACATGACACACATCACTCTTAAGGGAGCAGCTTAACTATGGTGCTGTTAGCTCTTGGTTGGGTGGGGTGCAGTGGGAAAACTACTACGTGTGTTTGCCACTGGAACATGCCAAACCTTTTATTTTTTCATGCTAACATTTTGCTCTGGGAGGAAAAAACTCTTTTTTTGTTTTTTTCCCCCACTTCTTTACGCTTCTGTCAATAAAACACTATTTAATAACATTTGTTGCATGCTTTTTTTTTTATTCAGCGTTAAACGGTCTTGTTGATTGCTGTAGAAATGCTAATTTACATGCTCATGTTATTACAGTAAGTGTTTCAGTTGCAGCCACTCTGTCGAAAACTGCTGTTACTATTTTTTTTTTTTTTTTAATCATTTCTAAATTTGAGCAACATTACAACACTGTGGTAAAACCACAATCAGGGAGAATAGTCATAAAGGGCTTATTTAGACATCCTGGTTTATTTGTGATTGACGACTTCCTTACTGAGTAAATCACAGCAGACCGTGTTTTCTGAACTCTGTGGCTTTTTAGTTAGGCGTTCATTTTCTTCTTGGATGTTAAAATTGTTTCATTTGGGCTTGTTTATTCTGACAGAATACACTGTGTGCTAATAGCTGTTCCCCTGTGGTCATTTACTTTGTGTTCTTTGTGCAGTCAGCCTGTTTTTAGCGCTATCGCATGTAGCATGTTGAACGTGAACGCAAAGTATAACGCACACCCTCTGCTTTTCTTTCCCCCTCTCATCCTCTTCCTCTTCCTCTCTGTTCTGCACTCCCACACCAGTAATTATCGCGTTTGTGATGGCTACTATAATACAGATTTGCCAGGGTAAGCTTTCATCATTCACCTCAAATAATTTTACCCCATGCACAAGACAGCCTTCACCCATACAAATTTCGCTACAAGACAGTGTCTTCTGAGCAATTGCTCCATTTGGAGTGGATTTTTGTAATTTAATTATCCAACAGCAAAACATGCAAATCTTGGTTCTTGTTAGACCCTAATTTCCCTTGGATCAAAGTTGAAGATATTACACTCAAGTGCCAGCTAACCCGCACCAGTCTGTGCTGTGATCTAATTGTGTTTCTCTCTCCCTGCCTATCACGCTCCCTAGCTATGAAGATAATAAACACTTTATCAAGTAAGAACGTGTTGGCCAGAAGTCTCTTTTTTCGCTGATTCTCGTCACTCTCCTCTTATTCATTCTCTTTCCTTTTCCCCTATATTTTACTCTCCTTTCTAAACTGCAGCTTTAAAGCTTTCTCATCATCTGTCTTTGTGATCGGTCACTTTTGCCATTTTCATCAGTCCTGTCTGGTGTTGTGATTATTGTTGTGTGTGTGTTTGAGCATTGAACTGTGACTTCACTGAACCTTTACACTTAAAAAAACAACTTTTTTTTCCATTGCTTGAAGTCTCTCCACATCTTTCTTGGACCCCGTTCTGCAAACACACACACACACACAGTAAATAAATATTTAGTGAATCTTGATATTCAGTGCTGTTCCTTTTTTAAGTTCTCTTTAAACATGCTCCATTTTCTGAATTTGCTGCGCAGTATGTTCTGCCATATGAGAAAGTTATTTGCGGAAAAGCAGATCAAGGTTTTGCTTCTTTCATGTCTTTCTGATGGCAGGAACTGCTTGTAGGTTTGAACTGAAAGTGTGGATGGAGGGGTAGAGATAGAGTTGTTGAAGCTTTTTCGGACTGCAAACATGTTTTTTTTTTTTTTTTTTTTTTTCTTATTCTGTGTTTTTCTTATCACATGATTTCTAATTTAAAATAATTATTTTTATTTTTCAAAATTAATAATACAAGCAGTGGTGGAGAAAGTACTCAAACACTATACTTAAATAAAAGTACTAATAAACTGACAAAAATATACTCTAGTAAAAGTAGAAGTACCACATTTATGTTTTTACTTAAGTAAAAGTAAATAAGTACTTGCTTTTAAAAATACTTAAAGTATTAAAAGTAAAAGTGCTTGCTGAATGTATTACCTAATGTAATGTTCTACAATATCATTAAGTATGCCTACTAAATGTATATTTTCTGTAATACATTAATAGTGTTGAGTCATTTTAATGAACAATGCTGCAGATAATACATGTTTTTATTGTGTTTACTCTGTGACACAGTTCACACCTGGACTGGTGATTCTGTGCATCAGAATTTCAGGGATGACATGCAGAGTTAAATGACATTAAGCAAAATAAGAAAGAAGAATGATCATACCTTTGAAAGTTTTTATTTAACACAAAGCAAAACCAATGTGTCATTTTAACTGCAGTAAACACATTTAAGTAAAAGTTGTCTGATGAAAAAAGGAGCATTAGACCAAACAAAGGAATATCTGATCATTTCAACTCCAGTTTGTCATCAACTCTGGTTAAAATACTGTCTAGTCAACCTTGTAATGAGTCAAAAGTAAACACTATTTTAACTTCCTGTTTCCATTTTCAAAACTTGGACCCGAGTGTTGAGTCATTTGGAGACATCTCTTGTCTCCTGTCCTAACATCCCATGAACTGACACATTAATATTGCAGCAAGAATTTCTTGTTCAAGTTTAGAAGAAGTTGGTTTTCAAAGTTTTTTGAGTCCAGTCTGGCTCTTTTGGGAGATAATCTGTCCTGCTGTACTGAACAGCCTTTCAGTAGTCTTTCAATAGTCATTCAATAGTCTTTCAATAATCTTTCAATAGTCTTTCAATAATCTTTCAATAGTCTTTCAGTGGGCAGCACGGTGGCGCAACTGGTAGAGCTGCTGCCTCTCATCGAGCAGGTCCTTGGTTCAAACCCCGGTCCAGGGGTCTTTCTGGGTGGAGTTTGCATGTTCTCTCTGTGCATGCGTGGGTTTTCTCCGGGTGCTCCGGTTTCCTCCCACAGACCAAAAACATGCATGTTAGGCTGATTGGTAACTCTAAATTGTCCCTAGGTGTGAGTGAGAGAGTGAATTGTTGTTTGTCTCATTTGTCTCTATGTGGCCCTGTGATGGACTTGTGACCCGTCCAGGGTGTACCCCACCCCTTGCACAGTGATTGCTGGACATGGGCACCGGTGACCCCCGTGACCCAAAACGGAATAAACGGGTAAAGATAATGGATGGATGGATAGTCTTTCAGTAAGGCCATGGGTGGTGCGTATCTTCTTGCTGACTCTCTGCGGTGGAATCCAGTTCGGGTGTGTTAGTGGTGCAGTGGGTGTGCCCAGCTCAATGATGTGTGTACTAGAATATACATCATTGGCCCAGCTCTTCTTGAAGGCGGGTTTAACATTACCTGCCCACTTTGCAGTGATTCAATGGGCCAATTCCCCTCACCAATGGTTACTTTCAAACTAAAGAACAAATAAATAAAAAAAATGCAACGTGAATACAACTTGTAACACAACACATTATAGAAATGTAGTGCAGTAGAAAGTACAAATACTTAATGTAAAATGTAGTGGAGTAAAAGTCGAAAGTATCCACGTTTAACTTTACTTAAGTAAAGCACAGATACATGAAAAATGTACTTAAATACAGTAACAAAGTACTTGTACTTAGTTACATCCCACCACTGAATAGAAGATTTAATAGGGACTGCGGTAGCTTGGTGGCCAGTGTCGTGGTCTTGTAATCCTGAGGTTGTGGGTTCGAGCCCACAACACACAGGTTGTGTCAGGAAGGGCATTCAGCGTGAAACAATTGCCAAATCTTTCATGTGATTCCACTTGCTGTTGCAACCCCTGACAAAGGGAGCAGCCGAAAGACACTTACTAATAGTATAAGAGTCTATAAATCCCTGTTGTTACTTTGTCAGTGATCATCTCTTATGTTAAGTTTGACATTTTCTTGAGTTTGCTTTTCTGTTTCTGTTTGCCAGGTCTTGGGTCATGGGAGCTTTCGCCCTGCTGTGCCTGCTGGGCCTCACATGGTCCTTCGGTCTCTTTTTTATCAGTGAGGCCTCAATTGTCATGGCATACCTGTTCACTATATTCAACACCTTCCAGGGAATGTTTATCTTCATCTTTCACTGCCTTCTCCAGAAAAAAGTAAGTAATTTTGTTTTCATTTGATGCTTAAACTTTGAGATTTGTCTTCCAAAGCATGCAGTTGTTAGCTTTCCTCTCTCCTGAGCTTTGCCACACATTAATATAAAGATCAAAGATTACTTGCATTGTTAAAGTCTTGGTTAAGTCATAGTTAAAGCAAACGGTCTGTGTCAACACTTGCTGTGTACTCTCGCAGGTCCGCAAAGAGTACAGCAAGTGCTTCCGCCACACGTATTGCTGCAGAGGGCTGCCGACCGAGAGCTCGCATGGCTCCACAAAGACTTCGACCACACGGACCAGTGCACGCTACTCTTCTGGTACACAGGTAGAGCATGGAATTTTACAGACTCAAACAGTGCCACGTATAGAGAAGGAGACAATGATCCCTGCACTTGTCACTACTTAAATTTCAACAGTTTATTTGGAAAATGTCCACTAATAACAAAGTGTTCTGACCTGATTGAAGTTTTCATATTTTGTTTCAAAATCTTGTGGAAAATAATGTTTGTACGTATTTATTACAAAATATTGAACTTATCTGCTTTGCACTTGTGCACTAACAACTCTACGATGACAAAGCAAAAATAGTTTCCAATGGTTTTATTAATTTACAAATTACAAAGCTAATAAATTCCAATGTGTTAAAAAGTCTTCTTTTAATGACACTCTTAATTTTTATGCATTCTGCTTCTACCAGTGTTTTTTTGAGTCGCATATATGCCTTTATCTAATTGCAGTAGTTCCTAATGGAACTTAATTACATGCCTTGTTTCTTATTTGCACAGTTGACATTTAGAGAACTAGGCAGTGAGGTCCAGAAAACTGTCCAAAAACACTTATAAAAAGCTTGTGTCTAGGTCTTAATCTGGGGTGAGATATAATCAATTTAAAGTGGCCAAAATCGCAGCAGTTTCCTAAATAAATCAAGATCAGACAGGCATCCTGAATTGGACAGATGTTCTTGTTGGCCAAATCTTAGACAAAAGGTCTAAATTAGACAGGTAAACACTGAGCCAACGGTCATGACAAATGAGATCCAGAGTTTCATCCTGAAGATTGAAGAATTTCACAGGAGGAACAAGCATTAGTGCAGCTTTCCCAACAATCAGGTCTTTACGGTCGAGCGGCCACACAGAAGCCATTACTCTCTAAAAGATGCCCTGCTAGTATTTTCCTTAAAGGCACTTGAATGACTCTGAGAATATAAGAAGCCTTTTTTTGGTGTGATGGGAAATAAAAATGTTGAGCTATCTGGATGCAAATCCTAAAAATGTGGGAGGCAAGTTAGCATCACGTCATTAATGGAGCATACGAACAAGTTGATGGCAGGACCATTCAGTGGGAAAGCTTTACTTTAACATAAGGTAAAGAAAAGTTGGTTTAAAAGGTAAAGATAGTTTAAAATCTATTTATTTTACAAGGAGGATCAGAATCTAGAAAAAAATGAGATTTAGGTTTTAAAAAGAATGTTACTTTGAAACAAATCACAAAGAAAATGAAGATGGGTTTCTACAGAAAACAAGGAGGATCAAGGTCTACATCCTGGATCTGAACATTGTGAGTTTTGGTTTAACAGTTCCGCTTAGAAGAATCAAACATGTTTTTAGAGAAAAACGACCCAAGCCTGTACTGCAGGATGTTTTTTTTTAAAAAAAGAAGGTTTTTGATTATTGCCAAAGGATTTTTACCCCCCAAAAATACATGAAGGTTCCTCCTCACCCCAGCACTGCCTGACCAAAAAAAAAAAGTTGCCACCTGTATTTAACTAAGCAAATAGGTACAAACCTCCTATTGGCTAATTACTGTGTGGGCGATTATCTTTCAGCTGGCAACAAGTTATTTAACCCCAACTGGTGCAATGAGTTGCTTCTCATTTCTTAAACAACCATGGTGAAAGACACATCGTGTGGTTGTGGAAAATATGTCAGTCTGTTTGAGAAGGGTCAATTCTTTGGCATCAAGCAGAGAAAACATCTAAGGAGATTGCAGGAACTACTAAAATTGGGTTAAGAACTGTCCAACGCATTATTAAAAACTGGAAGGATAGTGGGGACCCATCGTCTTTGAGGAAGAAATGTGGTCAGAAAAAAATCTTGAATGATCGTGATCGGCGATCACTTAAACGTTTGGTGAAATCAAATGGAAGAAAAACAACAGTAGCACTCAGGGCTATGTTTAATAGTGAAAGTAAGAGCATTTCCACACGCACAATGTGAAGGGAACTCAAGGGATTGGGACTGAACAGCTGTGTAGGCTTAAGAAAACCACTAATCAGTGAGGCTAACCAGAAAAAAAGGCTTCAATTTGCTAGGGAGCATAAATATTGGACTCTGGAGCAATGGAAGAAGGTCATGTGGTCTGATGAGTCCAGATTTACCCTGTTCCAGAGTGATGGGTGCATCAGGGTATAAGAAGAGAGGCAGGTGAAGGGATGCACCCATCATGTCTAGTGTCTAGTCATCAATGCAAGATCTTGGTGAAAAATTAATGCAACACTGGATGGAAATAGATCTTGTGACATTGCAGAAGCTCATCAAAACAATGCCACAGTGAATGCATGCTGTAATCAAAGCTAAAGGCGGTCCAACAAAATATTTTGTGTGTGACCATTGTTTTTGGCCAGGCAGGGTATTTGTCTCTGTGGATAGTGATGATCCGAATTCATTGTTAGATAAATCTGAAAATGTCTAAAACTTAAAAGCAGAAAAAAGTTTCTGACTGTGTTGCAGTTTCATCATGAAAAATACAAAGAAAGCATATTTGGAACACAGGCTTCAGAGGTACATCAAGAGACGCCAGCATTATTCTCCGTTTAACAATCAGTATCTATTTTGCTGCATGAGAACCTTTCTCCTCTAATACCCCTTTAGCACTTGTTTTTGTCTTTATTTTCTCTATCCCACTAACGTCATGTGCATGTAAAATGGCAGTGCACTCTTTAAAAAGCATTACAGGTACATTTTACTGCAAGGAATGCAATTGCAAGAAATGTACATGTTTGTGTTGTCGCTTTCTTTGAATAGGCCAATAATCGTTAGTATACTATACACTCAACTTTGGTGTGCTCGCAGAGCAACAATGCTAACACTCTTTAATCTCGAGTTTAGCAAAAACAAAAATGGATAACTGAAAAAATTGACTTAGACAAAAATGAGTCTTGAAAAACCTACAGAAAAAAGCTGGACTGCCTCCCCTTCACTCTATACTTTATTAAAATAAATAAAGAGTAAAATAAAGAGTGGTATCGTTTGCAGTATTTGCATTAATAAAAGAATGAACGTTGATCTGAAAGGTGAGCAGTCCTGTTTAAAGACCTAACAACTGTCCCTTGTTGACCTGACAGAGTCGTATCAGGAGAATGTGGAATGACACCGTAAGAAAGCAATCTGAGTCCTCCTTTATCTCAGGTGACATCAACAGCACCTCCACTCTTAACCAAGGTCAGTTCACACCTCATCTCCTTCCACACCTGTACATAGATTTCATCATCCAGGTGAAATGATCACCTTTACGTTCCAATATCACCAAGTTAGAGTGTAACTGCAGCAAATGCTTTAAGTTTGAAGAGTCATAGCAGTGTGGTTAGTGAAAAAGGACATGGGAAGAATTAGGCATTCAGCTGCCATGCTCTGTGACTAAGGATCACAGAAATCCTTCTTCAAATACTGTGTTGTCATTCTGGTCTCTAACGTCAGCTTCAGATTTGGACCAGGCTTTTTTTTTTTTTTTTTTGTGCCAATTTTTCTAGTCCAGTAGTGGAAACAGACAAAAGTAAAATGGGAAAAAGAAAATCCTAACATGATACAAACAGTATTTTGTTGCCTCTGTGGCCTCTGTTTCCACATAGGTAGGTTTATAGTGAAAGGAGGAAAAAAAAAACAAAAAAAACAGAAAGTCATTTATTATTTAGCCTGAGCACAAATATGATGATGAGAAGATGATGTTCAACTCTTGCTGACCCAGTGTGCTTAGTGTGAAGTTAGGCTCTCTGCTGCTTCTGAAATGGTTCTCCAAGCATGCGAGGGAAACGAGAGCGTACACCACGATAGCTTTACCCCCCCCCCCCCCCCCCCCCCGGCTCCTGTCACTGTTGCACTTTACCTTTTTTTTTCTTTTGCCTTTTTGATGTCCCTTCCCAACAGACAGAACGTTGCATCAAGCATTTTCCTCCACATTTGGACTTGGTGATACATCAGTAACAATAGAATAAAGTCCCCCCCCCCCCCCTCCCCATACCATTTCCTGGAGATGTTAATGCAAAGGTTGGATATTGATCACTCCAGGGCGTAGTAGTTACCCTGGAGAGTTAGTGCACTGAAGGAGGGCTTTATCTCCTAGAAGCACTTCCATGTCATTAAAAACATCCCTGGAGACATCTCAACATGACAGATGGCATTTAACACAGGTGATAAATGGCAGAGAAAATACCTCAGATCCTTCGAACTCACCGTGAGCTTGAGAGAATAATTAGGTAGATTACGTTTTGGGGGGAAAATGGCTGAATTTTAGCCTTAATTGAGATTTGTCTAATTTGAAAACTTGGAATACATTTTTATTGTCTGTAAAACAGGAAGTTTTACATCTGAACTCAGGGTCCACTAATATAGTTTTTAAATGTAAAGCATAATTTTGTTGTTGTTTCATTTTTAACATGCAGTTCTAACACTTTATTCATGCACACTGCAGTCCACTGGAGTTTGAACAATTTAGTTTTGCTTTGCTGTTATTTGACTAAGTATGCTTAGGCTTGTTTAATGTAAGTTATTTAAAAAAATGCATGAATCAGCTTAATAAATAAACCAACAGATCAGTTTAGTCTACCTCTAATACTTTTGAAAAAAAAAGATAACTGAACACGAGTTAAGAAACCCAATGAAGATTAAATGTGTAGTAAGTGCAATAATATTAAAATAATGTGTAAAAAATGTAATAAGCATTGGCGGTTGAGAATGTGTTGCTGAATAAGTCAAGGATAATAAAGTACATAACGTATGAGAGCCAACAGCTGCAGCCGGTCTGCTAAAGTAAACAAAAGAGCCGAAATACTACTTCTTTTGTTCGTGTTCTATAAAATCTTTATTTTCTGTCCCTTACTTCTAAAATACCACCCTGGTATCAGAGTTTATTTCCTTCATTTCTTTTCTTGATCAAACTTTCAGTCGACTGTCAAACTTATCTTCACCTCCTCTGTCTTGCCACTCCAGGAATGACTGGGAATTATCTACTAACAAATCCTCTTCTGCGACCACAAGGCACTAACAACCCTTATAACACCTTACTGGCTGAGACAGTCGTGTGTAACACCCCCACAACTCCAGTGTTTAACTCACCAGGTGTGCTTATTTAATTCTTTCACCTGCATGCTGCCATTTTTTCCTCTCTTTTCCACCGCTGCTTTTCTCCCTCCTGGCCTCTTCAGGAGGCCAAATGAAAAGCAGGAAGCTCTGCGGTGTTGTTTTTCCCCTCTTAAAGCACTGTCTCCCACTAGCTTGTGTACATGATGGGTTTGTGTGTAATAGCACAAACATTTTGTCATGTAGAACAGAGACTTTTGCTGTTTGCCTTGACCCAGTCTCTGCGTACTCATATTTCTTTTAAAGGGACGTAATGATTAAGACGGGAGACGCTGCACATTTTGTCTTAAGATGAATTAAACAGTGATCTGAAGCTGTAGAATAAAGTGCATCATCATTAAGATTTATTTCCTAATACTGTTTTAGGAGATTATTTTTCATGCGATTTAAAAAAATCAAATATTTAGTAACTGATTGCACATCTTTAAAATTAATTATCTCTGTTTCAGATTATATTGAATGTTATTTATCATTGTTGAAACTGTGCTGTGTTGTTTTGTCATTTTCTGTTTTGAAATATAAGTGGCCTTTTTGTCATGTTTTGTCCTTTTCCCTTGTGCTTTCCTTTAGTGACCTACAGAGAGACAAGTATGGGAGTAAAACTTAACTTTGCCTATCAAATGTAAATTTTTTTCAGCATGCTTATTAAAAAAAAAAAAAAAAACGTACGCTGGCACCATCACTGGTTTTATTTTAGGCCATTAACACACACTCAGAGAGCAAGTGGTTCACAAAATTACCCACTTAAAATCAACATTAATCTGAAAAAAAATTGAAGGTTTTATTGGTTAATTCTTCTGGATTTGTTTATCTCAAATTTGCCCACAAGTCTGCTTGATTTTCTTCTGCTTGAATTGTTTTCACCAGCCAAATTTCATTTGCTGTTTTCTCACAGAGCGGAGCATTTATCAAACGTTTTCCCTGCTATCCCTTTTCTTTTATTGAAAACTCTTTCTATTTGTCCGTCCCTTTTTCCTCGTATGGCACTCAGCAGTCTCAGTGTCCGATATTATTCCTGTCACATGCTTTCAGACAACACCTGTCTGGACACTAAATTGCCTCCTAGCAGGCATTAACGCACGGATGTCATGGCAGCAGCTGTTCAGTTTTTCTCACTTTCTTTTCAGAACTTTTTTGTCATCTATTACTTCTAACATCCAATTGATTCTGTAGAGCATTGGCCATTTAGAACCTTCATTATTTCCCCCCTTTTATTTTTTGACATGGACAAACATTACCATAAATTGCTGCAATCGTCCTAATCTTTGCACGCTATTCTTCAAGGTGAACAACCACAGCATGACACGTTGTTTTCCCACTTTTATCTTCTCTCTCAATCATGACATAAAAATATTTAGATTTCTTCCTGCTGCATTCCATGACCTCCATGCTTTGAGGAATTCCTAACATGACCGTGTCTGACCTCTGCAGCGGCTGTATTTCTTTGAGCTGTTCACCCAGTGGCCTGCTTCTCACTGGGAACTGTTACTGACGGATGCTGTGTTGGGCTGTGGGCAAGCTCTGACCTTTGCTAACTTTGGGTACATAAGCTGCCAACGAATGGGCAGCAAACGTACCAGAACAAAGTCAAAAAACGAAAGAAAAACTCAAGATTTCCCATAAAATTAAAATGGCATTTAATTAATCGATGCCAAAGCTGTTTATTGCTTCTTTACTTTATTTGCTGAACCCTTGCTCTTGCTAAGTTGCAATTCAGATTTATTTTTCTTGCATTTTGTTGTGGTTTTTTTTTTTTTTAGCAATTTTTCATGTGCCAATAAATCATTTTACTTTGTTTTGTACATCAGCTGCTCTTAGACCAGATAGCCTGAGCAGACAGACATGATGTGAGTTGTCTAAAGTGAGTGTTTTCACCTGCTGTGTGTGGTGATGGTGGATCGCTGCTTGTGGGCTCCCCTTGTAGTGAGAATAAAAATGGCTGCCCCGTCTTATTAAATACCCACCTTCCCTTTTCTGTCAGAATCTTGTTTTTCCCATCTCTATATCGTTATTTACCTGAGCACACCCCAACTTGTTAGCCGCTAGAAAACTTGTGTGTCTTAGTGCTTGCCATTTTGTGGCTCCATACATGCGATTACTGACTTTTGCCCGATTGTGCTGTGATGGTGATTAATGAATGTTAGTCTGTTTCTTAATGTTGTTTGGGATCATTTTCATTGCTTTGTCACTTTTGTGGCAAACTAGAATGCATAATGTTTTGCTTCCTTTTACAGCAATTTATGAAAGGGAAAGCTTAATTGTGTATATGAGAAAGTAAAATGATTTCTCATTGCAAATATTGCATGATGTATATCATCTGTTAATAACTGTATCTAACTAACAGATTGATGGCATGGCTTAAATTAACTTTAGATTAATTTTTTGTGTGAAACTGCATCCTAAACAGCATTAAACTTTGATTTTATTCTTTCACAGTTGACTGAGTTGAATTAAGTAACATCTCTTTGTTGTTTTTTTTTGTTTTTTTCAGGGCACTCACTGAACAGTGCAGTGAGGGATACAAGTGCAATGGACACTCTACCGCTAAATGGTAACTTTAACAATAGCTATTCACTCCGTAATGGGGACTTTGGCAACAGTGTGCAGGTAGTGGACTGCGGGCTCAGCCTGGACGATGCTGCCTTTGAGAAAATGATCATCTCCGAGCTTGTGCACAATAACCTGCGTGCCTGTAATAAAAGCCACCAACAGCAACTGCAGAGGCATTCCACTTTACGTCATCCACCCCCCCACCAGCAGCCGCCGCAATACCACCATCACCACCACACGGAGCGGGCTCCACCCAAGGTGACAGTGGTTGGCGGCAGCAGCAGTGAAGACGACGCCATTGTAGCCGACGCGTCGTCTTTGGTCCACATGAGCGACACGGTGGGCCTTGAGCTGCATCATCAGCGGGAGCTGGAGGCGCCGCTCATCCCCCAGCGAACTCACTCGCTTCTGTATGCGCCCCAGAAGAAGGTGAGGACCGACGGAGGAGTGGATACACATGTCAGCGAGCTGACACCCACCAACCCTGACAACAGTCCGCAATCCCCAAACAGAGACTCTTTGTACACTAGTATGCCTAATCTGAAAGACTCTCCCTGCCCGGAGAACAGTCCCGATGTTGTGGAGGATCTCTCCCCCACCAAGAGGAGTGAAAATGAGGACGTTTACTACAAAAGCATGCCTAACTTAGGGTCCGGCCACCAGCTCCAAGCCTACTACCAGATAGGCCGAGGGAGCAGTGATGGTTTCATTATTCCCATTAATAAAGAGGACTGCATCCCTGAAGGTGACGTACGAGAAGGACAGATGCAGTTAGTGACAAGCCTTTAAATGTATTTAAATCATCCTCAAACCTCCCTGCCCTTTACACAATTCTGACTTCTTACAGGACACAGTAGTGAAGGCAGGAAAAGTGTTTTATTATTTTTTTAAGAATCTAGAAGTTCAATCACTCAAATGTACCACTTTCAAGCCTCCCTTCACATTGCCATTTTTTCCCCCACTCTTCCTTCCTTCCCTGCAGACCCAGAGACTTGCAGCACAGCAATGGCAGTGCAAAGTTTTAAAGAGACTGTACATAAGATGTAGAGTCAAATGTCAATTTTAAGAGACAAGCCAATTATGTATTTAAATGTGCTGCTGCTGTTGAATCATCACGAAATCTGAAGGTGTAAGAACTGAAGTAAAAGGAAAACATAAAAAAAAAAATCATTACTGCAACATCCAAACAGCAATTTCCTTGATAAAGATTGTACATACACTTCACAACATCCAAGTGGAACCTTTTTTTTTGTTGTTTTCACACCCCTGGACCAGGTTGTGGACGTGTTTGTCAATTGATCCTGATCAGAATGTTAGAAAAGAATAAGAAGGTCCTGCCCGCTCTCCATCATCACGAAGTTTGGATTGTAAAACCACTAGCAATCAAGCCCCTGGCCTTATATTTTCTTAAATGTACCTTGAACAGTTGTCAAGGAATAAACTGCTAAAATATATATTTTGTTGTATTGCTAGTGTAAAATAAAAAAAATCATGGGAAAGCGTAATTATAAAGAAGCTTTTAAATGCAAATTTATCATTTGAAAGACTATCGTTTATTGAAGATGAACATACGTAAAAGCGTGTTTATGGTTCCAACACTTCATTCACATTTGTATGTTTGGGTGTAAAGGTTTATTAAGAGAGGAGTCAACCAATTGCAAAGATGCATCATCACTTTTTTTTTCGCTTGTTGAACAGTGTTTTTGCCTAACAAGTTCTGTTGATATTGTTCATTGAAATATCTTTATCTGACTTTGCCAAAGTGGCATCACTGTAGTAGAATGGGATTGCAACAACCCAGTTAAGGTAATTATGCATTGCACATTTCTTTTTTCTTTTTCATTTATCGTCTTTTTTTTTTTTGCAATTATGATTGAAATATATCTTTTTTAACAGAAGGGTAATGGACAAGCGTTAGCTAAATGGAAACAGACTAAAGTTTTTATCAGAAATGTAGTTCTTCCGCTGGGGTTTTGAATATTTTATTTATTGAAATCTTTCCAAAAACCGTAAATGGGAAGTGTGTGAATATTTTCCCACACTGGTAAACATGCTGTACTGTAGCTTATGTTTTTTATGTAAACATAAGGGGCTTATCACTTAAGACTGATGTAAAGTTCAACACTTGTTTAACAAAAACAATAAATGTGAGACTTTTTGTCAAAAGACATTTGCTTTTTTTTAATGGGTTGTGTGTTTGTCACATCTTTAGAAAGCAGTTATGACTATTTTGCTATGGACAAAAAAAACAAAAAAAACTCACTTTTGACTCAGGTTTTAAGTAAGTCCCTTGAAAGATCAATTTGTTTTCTGCAGAATATATTTGCCTTTTTTTCATGCTTTTTCTTCAATCACTGCAGAGTAGAGAGAGTTCACCATGTGTGTTAGAGAAGCCAAATTTGTCCATGTGATTCAGACATGAGAAACTCAGGTAGGAAAATTGCATTGTAAATGTTTCTCTGTGTGGTTGTAACACTAATAAAAGGTTCAAAACTGACATTGTTCAAAGCATTGTCCACTTAGTTTATTATTAAATAACCACAGCATTAGGGTCTGGCTCTGGTGAAATATTGATTTGTTGGCCGTAATGTCGGATAAGAATAAAGTAGTGTCCACCAACCCTAGTGTCACATGTAGGCATGTCATGATAACACATTTTTCTGGGTGATTAATTGTCTCAAATGATTGCGATAAACGATAATATTGTTTGAAATTTAACAATAATTGTCAAATTTTTGAAGAGATGTTGATTTGTTTGGAGTGTAGTACCTTTTTTGACCACCTGATGGCAGTATAAGACTGTATGAACCAAATGATGGATAGTTGAGCAGTGTGTCTCTTTAAGAAAAGTGGGAGGGAGGGCCCTTGACGTGACATGGGCTGACGTGGTGACGCTCGGTGATTTGATCTCTTTAGCATAGAATTTTTCACACAATGCTTTTAATAAAAATAAAAAAAAATCAGTAAATAAGTTCTCAGCTTCTTTTTGCTGAGAAAAACAACTTTTTACACAAAGGCGCAGGTTTCAAACGTGAATTTTGGAGCTCGACAAGACGGAGGTTTATTCCCGAAGTCGGCCAGTTAGCTTAACTCGTAGCTTAGCTTCTCGGCTTAGCTGCTTTTAATTATCAAAAAATGTGATTTTGGATGGTTAAAACAGAGTTTAAAGAAAAAGAGAAAGGGGGGAGTGAGTCAGTGAAGAGCACCGGAGTTTAGCTGTGTCTTCAGTACAAAGAGAGAGACACGAAGAAACGATAAAGCCGGTAAATTAAAATGAGGTTGATAGTTTTCATTCCTCATGCGATTAATTGATTTATTGTTTATCGCGACAGGCCTAGTCACATGTGGCTGTGGTTGTAGAAATAAAGTATCTGGGCATGATTCATATTTGCTCTATTAATGTGTGCTTTTGAAGTGAGTTTGTATGTTTTATACACTTCAGGTAATGCTAATATACAAAGTATTTTGCCATTTGAGGATAGGAATGACAGCTCACAGTAGGGGGGCTACAAAGTGTACAGTTTGCCATTTGTACCGCCGGAGGAAATGACTCAGAACTCTGCAGAAATGGACTTTATGTCGGTGCACAAAATGTTGCGTAGGCTGCATGTTGTTTTGACTTTCGCAACAATTATGTGACATTTTGTGCAATTATCTGCAGCTTCAAATTGTCATTGAAGAAATTCGTTCTTTTGTATTTATTATTATTTTTTTTGTGATCTCTTGTACAAGCCTCTCGAATGCCAGTTTGAAATCAAGTGTTTTGGTAATTGTTGACTGTCGAAAGGCATGACGGCATGCATAAGAATGAGGGGAACATCATATTAGTTTCCATTCTGCGCTGTTAAACCATCCAGCCCTGTATTATCTGTGTAATAACCCTTGTAATTTATATATTTTTTGAAGCGTCATTATCAGCGAAGGCATATTTAACTCAACTCTTTAGGCAGCTGAAAATTCTACGAGGTGGAACAAAAATAACTAGAGATGACTCTGATCAACAAACACTTTCAAATCACTTACCTATTGCCAAAAATGCATTCATTCACTGTTTTTATTTTATTGTTTTGCACATGTCCAATTACTTGTTTTGTTCCCCTGAAAACATTAAGGAATTGTTATTACTGTGTAAAAAGAAAAAGTCTCTCCCATTTTTCTCCTCGTTCTTCTTCTGTTTATCGACACACTCTGACCTTAGATTAGAATAAACGCTGTAGGTAAGCAGGTTTATTTTAATTGTTAACAGCAGGGGAAATACAATCTGAGACTGACAAGAGTCAATGTGACCGGCGATCTGGCCTCAACACCCTCTGGCTTTGCATGTGGCCTTCATGCTGTGCAAAAGCCCCCCCCCCCCCCCCCAATTCTTCGCCTTCTGCTTTGGGAGGGGCTTCTCACTTATCACCACTTCAGAAGTAGGACACGAGCTGAGAGGCCCATAGCTTAGTCCCCCCCTCCCCCCAGAGGTACGAGTCGCCCCTGAGAAGGGACACACAAAACATCCAGGGATGTTTTACAGCAGAACGGTAATAAAACAGCTAAAAATGAATGTGCTTTGACAAAAGACAGGCCGATTTAAAAAAGACCAAGTACAGCTGATAATCCAAACATTTTTTTTTTTAATTAAGGGAACTTTTTTACTTCTGGATTTAATGCATTTGCATAAAAACACAATTTCAAATGTTTGCAATGTTTTTTTAGATGCCACTTTGTTATGCTTTTATGAAAAGGTAAGAAATAAAGCTGTTACTAAATTACAATACTGATCACATTACAATATTTTGCTCATCAAGTGATTCATAATATTTAGTGACCTGTTCCAAACTTCACCAGTGTATTTTGTTAACTAGACATTTTCATATTCATAAAAATGTCTGTTTCAGGTTCATCACTTTTATGTATTTATTGAAAGTTTATGTTAGGTAATTCTTACAACCCAGGGACTTCTCCAAGTTTATCAATCGCCTCTGCAGCAGTGACTCCTGTAAATGGAAACGCTGCCAATTATAGATGCCATCAAAGTGGATGAAAGTGATTGCGTAGAAGAAAAGAGGAAAAAATAAATAAATCCTCTGAAGCCACAAAACAGTAACTGGCAACACAAAAGTAACTTCTCCAAAACTCTTGAAGTTAAAGGGACCCCTTCAACTGCCTATTCTTTTCTTCCCCCAGCCTCCTTTGTCCTGTCCCCAACTTCAAATGTGCAGATACGCGGCCCATGGGCGACTTAGATCCGGTCCCGCTGAGGTGAAAAATCCAATTAACCTGCAGCTCTAGCTGACTTCGTTATAATCCCCTCCATATAATTATGAAATTACTAGATGCAGGATTTCAAATATAAAAAAAACAAACAAGATGAGAGCAAGTGGCTCAAGGAAAAAGAGGTGAAATACAGTATACAGTAACCTGCAGACTGAACTGAAATTAAAAGTGCGATCTGTGAAAAGTTCCTGTGATCAGGATGGATGGATCTTAATCTAGCATTTAGATAAATGAACAGACTATTGGAGGTATGACAAGTTTATACTAGACTATGAAACAAATCAAGCACATCAAAAACAAGAACTCATATTTTGTAATCTTGTTTCAGTGTTTGACTGAAGAATTGTAATTATGAAGAATTAACATGAAATCCCCTTCTTCCTGCCTCCGTCAGGGTTCCTAAACTTCACAAAGCTATAAGTAATAGGTGGCATTAAGATTTAGTTTACTGGAGCATCTGTAAAGTATGCAACATTTAATTACTTTTAAAAAGTAAATAAAGTAAAGTCGTATGTCTTATGTGCTAAGCCTAGCAATAAAAGTGTCTTACCTTTGAGTTTTTACTGTGAGAGTAAGTTCTACACAATAGCACACTACATAATCAGTTGTTAATTTAGAGTTATGGAAGCATTAATTAAAAAGAAATTATATATATAGTAGTCCGTCGCTACTTCACAGTTCGTTTTTCTCGGACTTGCTCTATCTCAGTTTTTCAAAAAAAGATTGGACATGACACACAATGGCTGATTGATGGATGAGCTGCATGATCAGCATGGATTTTTCATTTAAAATAAATTATTTTAAAATATTTAGCACCTGTGTGCAGTCCGAAGTTATGAGAGAAGCTTCCTCCTGCAGCCCTGATCTCCTGCAGTGTAAAAGTGGGCGTGGCCGAGAGTGCCTCCTGAGGCAGAGAGCTGAAATCATGACATTCTGTGCTCTTTTAGAGAATTTAGAGTTTAGAAACATTGTTTAGAATAATGCAAGAGTGTGGGAAGGGTTTAAAATGCTTATATATATATATATATATATATATATATATATATATATATATATATATTAGTGTATAT